AAAAAAAAAAACCCCCCCAAAAAAAAAAAAAACCAAAACCAAAACCAAAAAAACCCCACAAAAACAAAAACAAACAAACAAAAGAAACTCAGAATGGTCTGGTGGCACACACAGATTATTCTAGCAGTTGGGATATACAGGGAGACCCTGCCTTTACAAAGAAAACAAAGCCCCTCACATATTCCAGGAAAAATGAGTGATAACACTCTATGGTTTAGTTTGAAATTTTCAAATAACAAACAGTACAGAGAAATAACCCGAAGATGGACTGAAAATCAGCAGGGCAATAACACAAGGTGAGCAAACCCCCTATAATCCAGTAATTCACAAGAGTAGAGTCTGCAGGGTGGGGGTGGAGGTGGCACCTATTTAATCCCAGCACTGGGGACGCAGAGGTATTCAAAGTCGGAGGCTAGCCTGGGCTACTGAGAGCATTCAAGGACAGCCAAGGCTACGCGGAGAAACCCTGTCTTGAAAAAGCAAAAAGGAAAGAAAAAAGAATAAATCCCAGAGTGGACTGGATAAATGTCCAAAGGCAATGAAAAAACTGTCCTGATCTTGAGAAAACTGGCAAAGACAGTATCAGTCTCTGAAATGGTACTCATGCCCAGCTTTCCTGTGGCAGGGGCCTCTACTCAACACTATCCAATCTACTTTCTTCAAGACTTCTTCTCTTCTCGCTTGCTCTGAAATGCACACTGAGGGAGGCTGGTGGATGTATGTGGGAGCTAAAACTTCCTTTCCTTGGGTTCCTTGAGGCACAGAAAAAGTAATAACATGTCCAAGACCTCAGTATTCCATCAGTGGCTTTGATAACTCCTCTATCTTGTCAACAGGGTTTTTTCCCTGCAGTGGTGGAGGCGGGACCTCCAGCCTTGTACATGCCAGTCAAGTGCTCCACCACTACGCTGGGACCAGCCCCAACAACAGTTGTTTCCTAAGGGATCAATCAACAGCCCCTGCAACAGATCCTTCAGTATTACTGTGGTGTTGTTAGGACCTAGTAATTGAGAGAACTCACAGGGGACAGATGCTGGCTGCTGGTTCAGGCTCAGCCTAGTCTCCCCAGCCCCTGCACTTGCGCAGATCTTGGTAGCAGAAGCACATGGGTGAGGATGTTCTTCACTTCACACTGGACAGGGAGTCCAGAAAAGGCCAGGGCAGACTCAATCCAAGGACACGCTTCCAGTGACCTACTTCATCCAGCTCAGTCCCACCACTCCCGACAATGGCACCGTGTGGTCAACCCACCAGGCTACTAGGAATCCGTATATTACACCAGAGCCTCATGACCAAATTTCCTCTGGAAAAGCCATCAGACACACCAGATGTGCTGCGCTAGCTAATCCTGCCGGTGTTTTAGACCCAGATTAACGGTGAAGAAGTGAAGAGGACTCAGCCCTTCCTTTAAGTAGGTCTAATAACTATCTACCAAGTGCAGCCTGTCTGTTCTCCACCTCCTCAGAGAAAAACCAAAATTATAGCAAACTGCCCATTACAACCCAATGTTAGTAATAAAATTATTAAACTTTGGTGGTGTTGGGGATTAATCCCAAGATGACATGCATACTAGACAGAGGCCCTACCATGGAAGTGTATCCTCAACTCTCATTAATAATTTTGGCTATCACCTATAATGTATCAGAAACTAAGGACAGTCTTTGTTAGCAGTAATCAGTGATGCTGTTACTGTTCACTAAAACTGGTTTCTCAATGTACACGTTTCTATCAACTCTAAGATATACTCAGGAGCCCCTGAATTTGAAGATAACTATACTAACCACACGAGGAAACATGGGCTCAAAGGTTTTGACTTACTCCAGTACTTAAACAAAACAACCTATTATCACATATAAACTAGGGCCCAGTGTGGGAGCACACACTTTTAACCTCAGTGCTAGCAAGGCAGAGGAAGACAGATCTCTGAGTTCCAGGACAACCTGGGCTACATAGGGAGACCTCATCTTGAGTAAGAAAGAAAGGAAAAAAGGAGGGAGGGAGGGAGAAAGGGAGGGAGGGAGGCAAGTCTTCCAGCCCTCCTCTCCAAATATTAAGCATAAATGCAGGTATCTTCCCAGCTGTTAGTTGTACACAGACACATACTTCTGCTGCATCTTGTTCTGCATGGGCACACTCGAGAGGACAATGTTACCAACACAGTGTGAAAAAGAGAAAACTAAAGACACAGAGCCGAGTTTATCCTTCCCACTTGTTGTTTCTAACTCTGCAGCACAAAAATGCATACTTAACAGGCACAGGCAAAATTCACAACACCCCGGTTACAATGATAATTTGACCAAACTCTACTATTTTTCTGGTGTATTTAATTGGTGTTAAAAAAAAAAAAAGGGTAGGAAAACTTTTATGATCTGACTTTTTTGATTACGTTTACTTATTTGTGTGGGAGGGGGGTACACACACGGAGGTCAGGAGACACCCCTGGGAGTTCTTCCCTTCCAATGTGTGGGTCCCCGGATCAAATCCAGGCTGTCAGGCTTGGCGGCAAGGGCCTTGACCAGCTGAGCCATCCTACCAGCATGACTATGATTATTATAAAGAATAATAAAAGCCAAATTGAAGCCAATTGTCAGTTCTTCTTTAAAAACATTGTTTTAATAGTCCAACAAAATCAGTTGGGGGCTTCCATCTGAATAAATGGGCCTGCAGCCTTCCCCACAAAATGCTCATAAAAAGTCTAAATATTGTATGAGACATTGAATGGGCCTCTTTCACGTCTGTGGTTTGTAGTTCCCAAGTGCTCAACATCTGGCATTTTCACTTCTGGGTCAGAGAAAAGGCATTCTGGTCCATCAGTTCCCCCACTCGCTCCTGGAGGACATTAACCAGCTCCGCAATGACAAAGACGTGTGTGTCGTCAATGTCTTGAATGATGAACTTCTTCCCCAAGGCATTGGACTCATCCAAGTACAGTAAGAACTGCTTCATGGCAGGATCACTGCAGAGACAAACACAGGTTATAGGACGTCCTGGGGTCACCCACACCACAAAGACTGGAGCAGTCACATTTGCACATGACGAATTTGAAAGTTCGCAACTATTAGCCAATGTTTCATTTTTCTCTCAGCTTAAAGGATTAATGATTTGTAGCCATGACTTCATGTTAGAAGTTGAGTTAGGACAACTTCAAGAGAAAGGCTTTTAAAGAACAACTTGACACTCGCAAGAAGAGAAACCACGGCTAGCCCTCTGCAGTTTAAGAGGGCCTAGAACTACAGCTTCCTTAACTGATTGAAAAAGCAATGTCCACACTCACGGACAGCACCGGGAGAAACCAAAAGGGCAGAGGGGGCAGTTTTAGGAGCCCATGGGTTGATGGACAGAGAGAGGGCCCGCCCACAGGACAGGAAGTCAGAGCCCTTGCTTCTCAGACTCACTTGCCCTCTGCCTACATAAACGGGGTGAGGGAGGAAGGCGCAGAGTGTGGAGGGAGAGGGGGCTGGCAAAGATCCTTAGTGTAGTGTGGCGCCCTACAATCGGGCTGCTTCCTCCTTCCCCAGCAAACACGGCACCACAGGGACTCCAGTGGTGATCTTGGCCTCACTCCCCAAGCCCTTCCGTCCTTGACTGTCTTCGGTTCCTCAAGAATCTCAAAACAGCCTATGAAAACCACACACTGTTTTCTTGAGGAATGTGCTTCTCACAGTGGGACGAAGAGCTGGTATGTAAATTCAATCAGTTCTAAATGGAATACAGTGATAAGGATAAAGGGGAGGTCATAATAATAAAAATAATAAAATTGACATCTAAGTGAAGTGTAGTATTTTGCTATTGTTTAAGCCCAATGCATTCACAGCTGATGCCAATTACTCTCAATAATTCCCTGCTCAGAGGTGTTAAAATCAGCGCTGGCTAAATGGTTATAACACCTAGTATCTCTACAGTTTTCTAAATGAAATGAATTTACATAATTCAGTCAAGAGCTAAACTGCTGGACCCAAGGAGTGCTGTGGCACTCCCCTCAGACTGTAAGGGCAGCGGGGGTGGTGATGGCGGGGGTGACGTGGCAGGGACAGCACGTTCGGGGTTACAGAGTTAAGCAGACACAAAAACGGTTCATTCCAAAAACACTTTCTAAATTCAAGTTTTCCCAACCTGAGACTTCATTTGAGTCCAGCAAATGGTAGGCACTGGATAAATATGTCAGTCAATTCTTAAGAGAAAGAAAGTAGCGGGATCCACAGCTCCTCACATCCCAGCCAGGGTTTACAGCTGCAGACACACAGCCCTAAGTGACAAGTGACTTCCAGCCTGGCCTGCTGGAGCCTAGCGGCAGCCTTAGCTCACACATGGGAAGCCTCACTTCAGTCCTCCTACCTATGTCTCTCCCTGTAGTGACAGAAAGGCTAAGAGAACATCTTGGGATTTAGGCTGAGATCACAAAATCTGATTCACTTCCCTTAACAGGATCTGCTCAGTGCACACATATATGGATGTTTATATTTCCATCACTGAGGTGGAGGCACTGTCCTGGTTGCTTTGGAAATGTGGCCCTACTAAGGAAGTAAAGGTTGACAAGTCAAATACTGTTAAAGAAGAGCAGACTGGTGTTCTCTTAGTGCCACTTGCTCCTCACGTACACTAAAAGCTTCTAAGCCAGGCTGTAAGTGTTGCCTGGTTTCACAATACACAGTCCTCCAGTTCGTTATTTACTGTAGTCAAGCAGCCCAGTTTCCACCTCCCTAACAAACTGACTGGTAAGCGCACACTAGAGGTCAATTTCAGCACCTGGAACTGAACATCAAGAGGCTGGGTGCATGGCTGCTTCAGTCTCCTCCGGAACTGCCTTGGTTGGCTATTTAAGAAAATGCTAGGTGTGAACCTGGGGGTGATGGCGGGTCCCCAAAGAGATACTTTCATTGATCTCATCTTGCCATAAAAGTACAAATTTTCAAGTATTTAAGTAATTCAGCCTTAGAGATGTTTTTCTCTGTTTTGAGGGGGTGGGGTGGGGTGGGAGCGAGCTCAGGACTGAATGACATCAAGCACAAGCCGGCTCGCTGAGCTGTACCTCCAGGCTCCTGGCCTTATACTGTGCTCTAAGATAAACCCTGGGAGGAAGGAATCTTAATACAACCAGACGCTTTGATATTTAAGTTCATCAAAGGCACAATTGAATGGCCGCCATTAATAGTCTGGCTTAACTGCTTTACTGTGGGCTATGTAAGATTTAAGAGGTTGCTGTTTTGGATTAAGATCCTATACAGATCAGGCTAAAAATAAAATGCAATCGCTCATGCTTAGTTTCCAACTCACTAAGCTGGAACAGCACTTTATCTGATCTGCAGAGAAAACAGAATTAGTGACAGATTTCTCCAACAGGCCTGTTCTGACATGACAATTAAGCTGCTTGGCTTAATCTATGCAAAACACCGCCCTCCTCCAGCTAGCCAGTTATTTTTCTATGGTTCTCACTTTCCTTATTTTCAGGTGAAGGTTCTTGGGCTGGCGTGCAGCTAATGGAAGCAATGGTGAAGGATGCACAAAGCCTTGGGTTCTGCAATTGCTAAGAATTCTTCAAATCATAGAGAAGGGGGAAAAATGTTACAGTAGGTGAGCTCTGTAGTCTCAGGGGTGCACTGGGGGTGGGATGGGAGGGGTGGGGCTGAGCAACCTATCCCTGGCGACGAGGGATGGTACCCTAACATGGTATGTAAGCCACCACTTCATGAAAACAACCCTCTATGCCCCCAGTATTCACCTCATCCGACACCTCCTGGTTCAGCCCTAATACCTTCCTGAACTCTTCCCTGCTCTAGATTCCAACTCCTACCTCAACAGTTGGTGGTTTTTTAAAGCTGAATCTTAGAGTCTCATCTTCCCAAAGTCTAAATCTGCACTATTTCTATGGTAGCCCATGTTACTACAGAGCATTTGATATGCCGTGAAAAATTAAAGATACTGGACTTTGAAGGTATTTTTTAAGACTTAATACATGGGGCTGAAGAGAAGATTTTTGTGGTTAAGAGCATTTGTTATTCTTGCAGAGGACCCAGGTTCAGTTCCCAGCACCCGTATGGTGGCTCACAACCTGTTCCTATCTCCAGGTCCAGTGCCTTCTTCTGATCACCTTAGGCACCAGGCACAGATAGAGGCATCACTCATACACATAAAATAAAAATAACGACTGACTTGGGCTATCTGGGTTAAATACTTCACCCGTTTCACTTCACGCCTTAATGTAGTTACTAGAAAATTTAAGACTGTGTATGTGGCGTACACTGTATTTCTACGGGCCAGTGCTGCTCCAAATGCTGCAGGTTTCCTAGCATTTGACCTTGCTCCTCCCTCAGCTTTGCCCTCACAGTAAAAGCACCACCACCTACACAATGACTCACAACGCGTAAACAGAAAGAGACAGTCGCATCTTCAACAAAGGGAGCACCTGTCCAGAGAGCAGGGCTTCCAAACAGCCAAGGGAAAGCCAGACAGAGTTCAAGCCTCAGCAGGAAGGGACAAAAGGCCTGTAGGTTAGGTTACTTTGAGGAACTCAGCTCTGGAAACTATTGTGGCTTCTTGCTTCTCCTCTGGAAGCTATGCTAAGGGGTTTAAAAAACCTGCCCCAGTTGGCTCTCATTTCTTTCCAAGGAGCACATTCTGTAGTGGCAAGGACTTAACCAAGTTCCTCTATCATTTTATTTTTTACTTTTCTAATTTTTTTCTTTTCTTTTCTTTCAGAGCTGAGGGCCGAACTCAGGGCCTTACGCTTGCTAGGCAAGCACTCTACCACTGAGCTAAATCCCCAGCCCATATTTTTTACTTTTCAAAGACAAGGTTTCACTACACAGCCTTGGCAGGCCTGAAACTCACTATGTAGACCAGGCTGGCCTAGAACTCCTAAGAGACTGGCCTGCTTCTACCTCCTGAGAGCTGGGACTAAAGACTGCCCTACCTTCTTGAATTCTAAACCTTAATCTAGGCAAGTGCTGATGGTCTGAGAATAAAAAGTTTCTCTAATCAAGGCTAATCTAATACACATTGTTGGAAATAATGCTAATTACATTAATTTAAAAGACAATAAAATGTAACATGAGTGAGAAAACTTAGCAACAAAGTCTGTCCCACTTATAAGAAAGCTTATGGAAATTCAAGTTGAAGCCTTGATTTCATTTATATCAACAAAACAAAATTTTGGAAAAGGCATATATACATAACAAGATCCAATGTGTAAATTTAAAACTCATTAAGTTTTAAAACTACAAACCATTCTATAAGCACTCCTTTCAAGACGTTGACCATCTTTTCCCAGGCAGACGGTGCAGATGACCTCAAGAATGCTAAAATAAATAAATTTAATTTAATTTTAAAAGGATAAAGTGACATAAAAATCCAAAAATTTCAACCTACTATGGCGATTTACATCTGAAATAAAAAATTAAATGTCAGTATTAAAAAGCTAACATTGACATAACAGATATTCCCATTTTTACCAATGCTAAAGCAGATTACTTGGACTATTAATAAAGCACAAATCCTACTTGCAAACAAATTCTAGCCGGGCGGTGGTGGTGCACGCCTTTAATCCCAGCACTTGGGAGACAGAGGCAGGCGGATCTCTGTGAGTTCGAGGCCAGACTGGTCTATGGAGAGAGTTCCAGGACAGGCTCCAAAGCTACACAGAGAAACCCTGTCTTGACCCCGCCCCCCAAAACAAAACAAAAACAAATCCTGCTCATGGCTAATTGATCCTTAAAAAGTAAGCTCCAAGCCCGTTCGTTGCGGGTGGTGCACGCTTCCCCCCCCCC